TTTTTATCAAATGATTTATGTGAACTTTGTGTTCCATAACATAATAGATCAAAAACAATTCTATTTAAATCAGTACAAATCATAAATCAATCAAACAATGGTCAATCAATACAGTCACCTATAAGGTTGAAGGTTACCTTGAAAGAGAAGCAATCAAGATTTGGGATGAGAAGCAATCGAGTTCCGAGGAAGTAAACCTAAACCGACAAAGGACCAGACAAAAAAACCATAAAGAATCGATACGTAATGAGTCAAAAGAAACAAGCAAAAATCGATACAGACCATAAATCAATCAGAAGCAATGGTCGAAACCCATGACGTTGAAACTTACCTTGAAAGAGAAGCAACCGAGCTTTGGGGAAGGGAAGTTGACAGTGATTATAATAAATATTGAGTCAAAACCACCCATTAAATATGAAATCGACAATGACTATCTACTCGTTGAAAAATAGAGATTATAGGGACGTTAGTTGGATTAGAGTTGAAAAAGAGAGATTATAAGGACGTTAGTTGGATTAGAGAAATTGTAGGGACGAATTAAGATTTCAATGGGAGTGGTATGCTTTTAAAAACATGTATGTATGCATAATTAACTTGTATTTTTTATTTTTAAGTAATGTACACAAATTAGTTGTACCTTATGCATGATAATTTGTTTTTAAGAGATTGAGCTAAATGCTTTATAATATAGTGTATATATAATATATTTTAGATTTTTTATATTTAAATTTTAATATTATAAATTTTATAAAGATAATAAGTAACTATTCTGTTAGAATTTAATGATTATACTAATTATATTTTAGATTTTTTATATTTAAAATGAGATGTTTATCATGTATTTGATTGTGTTTATCTGCAGTTAGTTACACGAATTCAGATATGGGATGAAATCGGATAGGAATTAACGGGTTTAAAAGTTTTGAGAGTTTTTAAGAGTTTTAGCCAAATGTTTTATAAGATAGTATAGATTAATAAACAGATTATGACTATTTTTTATACATTATTAAGTAAATAGAAAATTTAATTCATTTAATTAATAGTAGATAAAATATCAAGAGTATAATGGAAAAAAGTATTTCGAAACGTTAGTTTATAAATGGGATTTTTACAATAAGTTGAAAAAACATAAGCTAATTCATGGTCGATGTTTCAATCTTTTTGGAGGCTTTGTTATATCTAAGTTTTTTGATTACATTACATAATTAAATGAGATAATAGAGAATATATGTTAAAAATAAAAATGAGCTAAACTTAAAACGATTAACAATCTGAAACTAAACATAAACCATTAATAATTTGCACCTAAAACCAAACAATTCATGGTTTGAGCCTGAATAATTTCCATGTCGATAAAAAGACGCTAAACGCATGTAAATTTAGGTCCCAAACTATTTAAAATATCACATTTAACATGTTAAAGGACGGCTCTGTTCACAGTGCCGTTAACATAAACATTAATCAATCAAGAAAATTGAAATTAATAGGATGGTAATAAAACAGAAAATAACAAATATATAACCATGGTTATGTAAGAATTATGGATTGCTACCGTTTGTGTTGTTTATCGCTAATAATCATGGATCGTACTAATTTCTCATGCTAATCGTGATCCGTTTCATTGGTCATAGCTACATGTCGACGAGGTGGTTTCGGTTTCGGTTTCGGTTTCGGTTTCGGTCTCGGTCTCGGTTCCGGTTCCTTCTTTCTGGATGATCATAAAAGATTGGTCTTCAATTCCCCAAGTTTCAATCGGCTGAAACATGCATGCACTGTATATTATATATTGATATATACACATACAAATCATTATATATATATATATATATATATATACATATATATATATACCTGATGAACGAAGAAGGAGCCAGATTGGAAGGTCATGTAATGTGGAAGGGTGGATGGCGATTGATGATGATGATTCCATGGTGTAAAGAATGAGGTTTGATCTTCTTCTAAGAACGATAACAGTGATCTGCTTGGAAACAGCTTGTTTTCATTGCCTGCATTCTGGCTTTCGCTGAGTGATTCTTCCTTGGGATTCATAGCAACACTTGAGAAACAATTCAAAGAATCGTAGATCATGGGTTTATGTGTGTGTGTGTGTGTATTATATATATATATATATATATATATGATGAGGATTTATAAGTAATTAGTGGATTGATTTTTTAAGATAGATATCGTTTAATTTGTTCCTAAAAATCCAATTTAAATTATTACTTAATTACAATCCCACTTTAATTCGGACTTGTGATTGTAATATATATATATTTATATATCTCCCTCTTAATATATATATATATATAAATCAGTTAAATAAGATATTTATGGAAATGATGAAAGTTTATTTATCATGATTTAAATATTTATGTAAAATGATAAGAGCTTAATCATTATGATTAACGTTTTAAATTAAGAAATAATTGAAGTATTTATGAACGAGATAATCATTAGAGTAGATAGAACAGTTGAGATAAGTCTATATAGTTTTAATGAAACTAAAGGGTTTGCATTACTTAATGAGAAAACCCTAAAAAATGAAAAATTGAAAAACACCCAAATAATCATAATATACGTGCAAGTAATTGAAGATATTTTCTGGTTTTTATGTATATGTGTATAACAGTTATGCACATGTATATATCTGAGAAATTACTTGTATACTAGTATTTATACTGTATAAATAAATAGTTATTATGATGGTTTTTTTATTTTTGGTGTATATTATAAAATATATGCCAATGTATATAAATTAAGCATGTCAAATTAAATTTGGAAACTATTGAGATAATTAAATAAGGAAGATAATTATCGCATAATATTTTATTTAGATTGATGAAATTTGAAACGTATGAAATCTATGGTGGAGATCAAATGGATGACCATAATCAAGAGTTGATGTGTCATTTAATTGAGAAACCAAGGATGGTTAATTTGGAGCAATGACAACTAAATCATAATCAATTTTTATTATTTAAAAAAAAAAAAAACATCCTCACAAACTCAATTAATTTAATTCCTTTTAAAAATTTAATTTGGTTTAAGATTAATATTTGGGAATATTTTTTCCTTAATTACCTTATAAATGTATGGTGGATTTTTGTTGCCATGTGTAACCTATCCATTATAAAACTACAATCAATCATGTCTAAAATATATCAAATTAGAGAGAGTTTAGCTTAAAAATCATGTAATTATTACAAATCACTTTTAACCGTTCATCTAATTAATAAATATATGGTTTTATATATATTTAAAGGGGTCGTTCACCAAACGTTTACTCGAGTAAGCACTTACCAAGTCACTTTACTTTAACTTTGGTCTGGTGCGGTATGAAATGAATAATCATAGAATCAACTCGATCATCAGATTATAGATTATAAGTTCATAAAACTCGATTTTTTTAATTGACCAGCTATAAATTCTGCAAGAATATTAGAGTTTTTATAAGGCTTTTCCTGATGAATATAACAAAAATTAGGAGTTTTACCCGGTAAAAGTAAAGACAATAATCGAGAGTCTTACCCGGTAAGTGAGGAGAATGACTCTTACCATGGTTAGCGCTTACCGGAATAAATTGTTGCACACGATGCATTTTGAATGAATAAAATCTTACACGGTAAGTAAACGATAATATTGAATTTTACCGATAAGTGCTTATCGGGTAAGTGTTTAGGTAAACGGTCTCTAACTGTATTTTAACCTAAGTCATGATCATAATATATGAATCATATCTCAATCATAATAAATAAATAATGATTTATAAGGTTATATGTATTTGAAACCTCCCCTGTGTATTTGAATCTTGGAGGTTTAATTGAACAATATCTTGTTTTCATTGGAACGGTTATAAATTTAACTTTGAGTAAATTACAATTTTGGTTCATGTGATTATATCAAACGAATTAACTGCATATATTATCATATCGTAGTTTCAATTTTGTTGCAGATTTGTTTTTTAACCTAACTCTGTTTATTTTAAAGTTATTAAATCAAGGATATTTTAATGCTCTTACTTTTTTTCTCAATGAAAATAAAAAATAAATCGATATCATATATTATTACATAATAATGATTTAATGAATAAAAAATAATATAATTGTATATTGTACATCGATATCACGTACGCACATGAAAACCCTTCCGACTGAACTCAAGAGTCTGAATGACATTTGAGGATGAGTCCACCGATAGGCAAACGACTTCCATTTACATATGATTTCATTATCCATCTGCCAACTTGTCACTAGTGATTGCTCACACAATTTTCCCAAGAACAGCCCTCTTGTCCTTCTTTTGCTTTAAGAAATAGCAAGTCTATGTTCTCCTTTTGCTTTAAAACCCATCACCGACACAGGTATCGAGCAACGATGAAACATCGAAAGTTGTTTTCTTTTATTGTTCGATATTTCATTACTCGTGCAAAACACTAGAAAATAAGTTGTACAACAACAAAATTATATAATTTCTTAACAGAAAATGATCAATATATATATATATATATATATTTGACTTAACGAACTCTAAAATAAATAGAATTAGATTGAGAGATCCAATCTGCAACAAAACTAAAACCATATGTAACTAATTTGTTGAGGGAACACAGTCCACTTTTTTGATATATAAGTATAGGGACCAAATCTGTAATTTAGTCATATTAATCGGAAGCCATCCAACCTCCTAAAACTAAAAGCAAGAAAGAAGAAAGAATCCACAAGTAAATTTTGGAACCCCTATTTATGTATGTTTCACACACTAACACAATAAAAAACAAAACAGAAGTATTAAAAAGAATAATAATAACAATAGCAGCAGATAACAAACATTCATTCATCACACTAATAATTTGTGATTAGTTTTTAAGAACCACAGCAAGCTGATTTCTGTGCACCTTCACCATTCCCTCCTGATCCATCTGCACCACCTTTATTGATCTTAATTGTACTTGGCTGCAACCAATCAAAAACACTTGTTACCCTCTTACTACATTCTATTATGGTTAAAGCATCAACTACTGAGTCTGAGTCCATTCGAGCTCAACTCGTTAACACCCCTAATTATGTGCTCGATTCTTGGAAAACCAATCAGATTTATGTATCCATTTCATTAACTTGTACTACATTACCTCCGCCTTGGAGTCGGTATCTGAAAGCCTTTGCTTGATATCCTTTGCGATTGAAAAGAAGACTTGCTCCACATTTAGATTTGTTTTTGCACTCTGCACAAAACATAAAATAAATAATTAGCTTTGCTTCATCTTAAAGAAGGAATGAATATGGCATAATTTGTTTGTTTACTTACAGTTTCAAAGAATTTAATGCCATACTCATCGGCAAGTGCTTGGCCCTTTGCAGTAGGCACAGCCTATCAACAAAAGATCGGCATTTATTAAAACTTTCCAATTTCTTCAGGTCAGTAATCGAGATTATGCATCAGGTTCAAAAACTAAAGAATACCCTTTTGCTTTCATCCATATCGGCTTTGTTTCCGACCAGGATCTTGTTAACATTGTCGGAGGCATGCTGCTCAATGTTGCGAATCCAGTTTCTTATGTCTGGCAACACAAAAAAGCAAAAAGAACAAAACGAGATCAGTAAACCACGAGCACATAATGTGATGCATAAGAAGGAAGACTGTGACTAATATAAATTAACAGCTTAAGGGTGTGTTTGGCACACATACTGGACGGGACAGAACTAAGCAAGAGTGAGGTAGTTGGTAGAAGAATGGTGTTGTATATCCCTTGTAAAAAAATAAGTTTGTGTCTAAAAAATTATATGAAGCTGTACACAATAAATGATATTTCGTTGACACCACACACAGCAACTCCAACAGTGATGATTGATCATCGATTAACTAACTAAACAGAGAAGAAAACTGGAGGAACCAAGTATCAAAGTGGAAGGAAGAAAACCTTACTATTGAAAGAGGATTCGTCTGTAACATCGTACACCAACAAAATACCCATGGCTCCTCTGTAATAAGCTGAAGTTTTGGAAGGAAAAGTGTGTAAATTACATACATAGTATTCTAATCTGAAACACAACATAATAAATTAAGTTACTTTAAACATGAAATAAAGCAATTCTCAGGGGTACATTGCTTCTTTCTTATCTTAAATCTGGGATCCAGAGGTTGAACCAATCAACACTATAATCCAGTAACATATGTGGACGATGGATTCGTATATGATATGCCAAGCCTATGTTAACCTGATCAACAAAAAAAAAGATAAAGCATACCAGTTGTAATTGTCCGGAACCGTTCCTGACCAGCTGTGTCCCAAATTTGGAGTTTGATCCGTTTGCCATCAAGTTCAATGGTTCTTATCTTAAAATCAATACTGTGGTTCCAAAATTATAGCAATCATGAAGTCAATATTTATCATCAAACATATAAAATCAACTGCTGATGCAGAGATTATTAGATCTACTCACCCGATGGTAGTGATGAAACTAGTAGTAAAAGAACCATCGGAAAAACGCAAAAGAAGGCAACTCTTCCCCACACCTGCAAGGAAAGCAAAAGACAGCCAATGATCATTTTGTATGCCTAGTTAAGCTCTATTCTTTCAAATTATCACACCAAAACACATGCGCCCATATGAACAGAAAATATATGAATAAATTCTTTGGAGAAGTTGCAACAAAGGTTATATTTCTGTTGACAAAAGGTTCCAGAGCCACATCATAGCTACTCCTTATGATTCGTCTTCTTCCATACAATTCTCACTACATACAATATCATTTGTCGTAGAATTTGCAAAGCCTTTAGGGCCCGTTTGGTTGATGCAATGTTTTTGAAGGATCTGGATTTTGTGGAAGGATTTGGAATCTTTGGTGTGTTTGATTTGTAGGATTTGGAATTTTACTTTTTGTAAATATTTGTTTGTTTTATAAATATATTTGCTTTGTTTCAATAAGATGTGGAGGCAATGGTGAGATTTGGAAGATTTGATGAAAGAAGCGGGGGTAGAGATGCAAACGAAACAATGCAAATCCATGGGATTTGGATTTGAAACGAAACCCATCTCCAAGGGATATCTAAATCCGTCGGTTGTGGGATTTCATTGATGTCCCCAGACTTCAAATCCGAACTTTATTTTGAACCAAACACAGAATTGGAATGGAATTCAATTCCAAATCCTACCAAATCCCATAAACCAAACTGGCCCTTAGGTTATGAGTCCTTGTTCAACTTCATGAATGTGTGTCGAAAACATGGTTGGTGCTCTCCCAATCCCTAAGATTTTGATAAGAATTCCAAAGCAAGGACAGTCCAAGTTTCCCAAGTCCATCAAGCATCACAAAGAAAGCTAAACAAGCAGTGGGGTTGCACAAGAATGAAGAAACAATAAAAAATGCTTCTTATGCACAGGCCATGAATGATTGTCCAAAGAAGATTGTGTTCTATGCTATGCTTGCAAAGTCATGTAAGGAAGTGAGAATCCACCTAATTGATCACCACCTCGTAATTGTCATCTTTGCAATAAACAGCACTGGTTCAAAGGCTTCCCGAAAAGAGTTTTGGAATGATGGTGGAAAGGTTTCTCCAAGAAGAAAGCAGAAACAGAAGTAGGCAAAGTTTAGTGACACAATGTAGCTATCTGTATGATGACGATCCAATATGAGGAGTTGGAGCCTCAAGGTAATGCGGGATAAAGCACAAATGGACCAAACAAAGGCAGACAAGCCAAAGAAAAAGTCACGACGAGGCCTTCATGAATCGAGAGGGGGGAGAACGTTACAACACTACCTCTTCTGCAAATACACCAAATAAGGGTCATGCAGAGACACGATAGCATAGAGTTCTCCATGATGTTCTAGGATTTATTGTATTGTGTAAAAGTTTCAGGATACTTGTAGGTTAGAACTTGTATAGTAGGTTCTTCTATAGAGCCAACTAAGAGGGTTGGAGTCTACTATAAAAGGGGGAGGCCTCCCTCATTTGTAACATCCAAGTGTGAGGAACAAGTGTAGGGAGTGATAAAGAATAAAAGAATAAACTGCAATGTTGTCTCATTCCTTGGGAGTGTTTTGCATAGCATATTTATCTAGTGTTTCCCTTTTGGACAACTTAGCTCTACAAGGAAAAAGCATCAATGCTAAGGGCTCACAGAGCTGCGCAAATAACTTTGTGAAACTTGGAAGTGAAAAATATAAATTTGTATGAAAAATACTAAGATTGGAAATTCACTCTTTCCTACACTTTAGAATAGATTCACATCACTGACATCGACAATGTCTAACTATAATTTTGATAGTGTTTACAATGTGGTTACATACGGTAAATATTATGCACCAACTTGAATTTAATGCAAAGCAACCAACACAGGGCAAATATTCTTATAAGTATAGTCATGCATGGCTATGCAGTGAAGTTTACCTATTTACGTTATTTAATTTCAGGATGATGACAATTCCGCCGTACAACTTTTTGTCGCTACACAAAATACATCTAATGTTAGACAAGATGAGATCCCTGCGCCTCAAGAACTCTGCTACAGTTTCTAAATTGGGCGTCCACGTGAACAATTGGGAAAGGTGAAAGGCATTATAAGATTAAGCATCCAATTTTTAGTGCACAAATTGTAAGCTTAGAATGTAAGAGGAAAATGTGGGGCCAATCCTCGAGCATTTAGCTAGGTGGTATTTACCCCTATTCTTTAAATGGTAATACTTATGAGGTCATAGTTCAAATCTCCTAACGTATGGAGCCTATCATTACCTTCTTTTCTAGTAAATACTCCCAATTAGTATTATGCATCCCAACCATTTGAGGTTTCATTGAAGTAGAAGACTTGCACTCAACTTTATTTTCATATTAATTGCATACAAAAGAAGACATTACTTTTTCATAGCTCCAATTTTCCTCCATTCCTCATAAAGTAGCTAGTAACAACTAATGATTACGTTCCACGTTCATAACAATCAACCAAGAGAAAAAATGTTAAGATGACCTGCTCTAGCGCTCTCTCTCTCCCTCGGGAAAACAACAGCACTCAAACATAATACGTTGTTAATTGCTCTCTCCACACGGATAATACATTTATTTTTTTGAAGTCATGATCACTGTAATTCACTGAAGAATCAATCACTAGTTTGAGGATTGGGAATAGATTTGTTGACACATAAGAAACCCATTATGATGCATAAATGCTTCATAAAACAGCAAACCCACCATCCCGTTATCTTTGTAAAAGAGTAATGAGTAATGACATCCTACCATCAGGCACTCCACATATCACAAACAACTCATAAAAAGAAAGAACCAAATAGGCACCGGATTCAAGACAAAATGCAACATATCCACCTAGATCCGTATGAAAACCACCTTCGTAATCCCTAATACCAAATTTTCTCCACTTCAACATACTGGCAACTAGTGATAATCATCCTCAGACACCTATTAATTAATCAATTTCAACATCCTACCAACACACATAATCCAAATGACGAAGCATACTAATATGTGATAAAATAAACTTAAAACGAGGACCGAATACTTGCCGCTATCGCCGATCAAAAGGAGCTTAATGAGGTAATCATAATCTGCTCGGGCCCTTGCCGGTGGAGCGGCCATTGAAGAGTCGAAAGAGAGTTGAAGGAAAAGCCCTAAAAATTAGCGTATGTATATAAATATATATACACACTTACACCTGTAAACCAATCAAAATCAAACCTCGCCAATTAGAACCAAAAGTTCAACAAATGAATTACAAACACACACCAGATCAGAAACAGACAAGAGATCGGCCATGGAAGGTCAAAGATAGAAATTATTACCACATACGAAAGGAATAATACACCTCTGCGATGATGTTAGGCTAAGATGCGCCACTTCCCCCTTCCTCCAGGTGCCTCAGTTCTTCTAACGTGCGCAGGTCACCAGCCGGAGCAATCTAGCAAAAAAATGGGGAAAGGGAAGAGTAAACGAATGAATGTTGACGCGCACAAAGATCAACCTGTAGACAGTTGTCGGTTTGTAAACGAAAAGAAGTGGCTGACCATGGTAAGAACGGTGTGCCAGCGATGTAGGGAGCTAAACTTCTGTTGCTGACATGGAAATCTTTGATTGGATAGTTATTTTATTTGGAGACCAACTTATCAAAACTAATAATACTACCAATACCAAACTTTGTTCTTTTAATTGTTATTCTTTTTCCAATTATTTTTAAATTTATATTTTTTGTGTATTTTGGTAAAGTTTTAAAATGTTATTACATAAAATAGAAATCAAATCAAAATAAATGCTGTTATTGAAAATTTATATATTTATTATTTAATTTTTAGAATGTCATCAAAAAAAAATTAAAAATTTATAGGTAAAAAGGCAAAATTGTAATATATAAACTTAGAATGCCAATGATTTGATATACAACTGTCAGATAGGAATTGGAGAACAACGGGGAATATACTAATGTCGTTAGACCCGTTACCAGCGAATCAAGCCCCACCAATTCCTAATGGGGTGCGCTATGCCAATGGCCTATAATTAATGGAGTAATGGTGACAAGTGGCACAAACTTTAATGATCTAGAAACCCCCTCGAGTTGTAAAAGAGCCCCTTTTCTAATGGGTGTCTACTCTTCAGTCAAAGGTTGGGATATCATATGATCATCAACATTGGTTGTTTTTCATGTAATGAAATGATTCATTATTGAGTTATTTTTACATAAATCGTATCGATATTTTCACCTTTTTCAAAAATTTGTGGTTGATTTCGAGGGATTTTTTCGTTTCTTTTTGTTGATTTTGATGCACTATTTTTACTTTGATAAAAATCTGTTCGCAAAAATCGGTTGAACAGGTGCAAGGAACCTCACTGGACTCTTTATAGGTCGGCCCATGATTAGAGGCTTTTCATTAACATTAACATTCTCATTTCTCGGCATCAATCAAACATCTTCTTGAATTTTTTACGAATCTGTTCGGTTTTGCAACAAATTAACAAATATGTCAAAACCCATTTACCAAGTTTGTTTAGTCTTTACGAAGATGAGGAATACGTCCCGGTCCTCCAGCGGTCCAAGGCCGGGCCGGGCCGGTTTGGCTATCACTAATTCCCATAAAACTCGTAACTGGTCTTGGAGGCGTCATGCCAAAACCAGTCGCAATCGGTCATGGACCGGACCGGACCAGACCAGGCCCAGTTTGGCCATAAATAAAACCTGGATTGTGGCCATTTCCTTAAAAGAATTAGCTTATTTGTTGGATTTTTGAAATCAATCCAAACGAGTGCAACTATAACCACAATACAAATACCTCATACCAGAAATGTTTCTTATAAAAAACTGTGAAATAAAACAAGTCACAAGATGACAAACAACACCTTCGATGAAACAAAACCGAAACCATGGTTGCCTCGACAAAATTCAATCTCAAAAACACAAAAGTCAACCATCAAAATATCATGCTTTTATTAGTAAAAGAAACCAAGCACTTTACCACCAACATTCTTCCTCCTGGCTTCTTCATGATCCATAATTCCAGCAGAAGTAGTCAATACAATGTACCCAAACTACATGATGAATAATTGTGCATTCAGTTATTTGTTCTAAATGCAATTCCTTCTATTCATAATGAATATAAGTTGAAGGTTAGAAAACTAACTTGTCTTGAAGGAAGAAGTCTAGCGGTCCATGGTTCAATTTCCTTGACACCAACATCAAATCGAGGACTGATAACCCCACATTTGTTCAATCTCCCATTCAATTCAACCACAATCTTACCGGATCGGTGGTCATCGACGTACTCAAACTCACCGATGTAACCTGCAGGCGAGATTATAGGAAATTAGGAACACACCATCATGTAATACACCAACAAATAACTACTGTATTATGGAGAAAATGTATCAAAATACGACGAAAATTGCCTTATTTTCTATTTAGTGTAACAAATAACTATTTTCCTCAACCATTTTTTACAGATAGCATGCTGATTTAGTAACATTGAATAATGTGGATGTCAAGTTTTATCATCCATTTTAACCTTAAACCTTTTGTAAACGGATATCCACATCAGCAGGTTATGGGCCAAAATGGGTACAAGATACATACTTACATCAATTGGGAAAAAAATTGTTTTCAAGAATTTCTAGAGGAAGAATTCAAGAGGCATACCGTGCTTTTGCATAACCAGAAGAAACTTGACAATAACTTTTGAAGAAGGCCTAATCATGACCTGTCTCTTGCCTCTCTTCTCAGCATTGTACATGCACTTAAGAGCATCATTCAGAACACTAACCCTCACCATCCTCACAAATTCAAAATGCTGCAAGAAAACAAATGAAAGCAACCATAAATATATATAATTGCTTGCAAATACTAAAAAGTACTTGGAACTCGTATGGTTTTTTAAACGGTTTGGTTCTCAGAGCCTGGAAACCAGCCATGTAAAACAATGTAACAACTCAGATATCATAATAAGGTTTAGTATTTATCAAGGTTCAAAATGGCATGAGGTGTGGCGGCAACCTCAACCCTTGAGCCTTTCACGCTACATATAAATTAACTAGTTTTACATAAAAAGTTTGTGATGAAATATTCAAAATAGAATTGGAAGAGTTTTACATTTTTAACCGTGAGTGACGTGATTAACTAAGTTTTTGTAAAAATATAAGGTTAAAAATGTAAAAACACACGTTAAAAAAATTGAAAAATTGAAAAAACAGTCTTGTTAAAAAAACCACGCAATGGAGTGAGCAACGCCTTACACAAATGCTATGCACCTTACCAAATCGGCAGAGGGGCATCTTACGCCATTTTGAACACTGGTATTTACTAACTCCAAAATAAACTAGTGGAAGCTCAATTTCAACAGGTACTATACATTGGCACTTCTTGTATCATTTTAAAAAAACATGCTGCGCAATTTAGCTAATCAAGATACAATCTTGATGACACGTTTTTACCACAAAAATGTTCCAAATTTTCAATCAATTCATCATAGGTTTCTGATTCAATCCATGTCAAGCCAAAAAAACCCCATTTGAATTGGCTAATTTTGATACAGATATAGTCATGCAAAACTAATTCTGATGCAAACTCACAAAAGTAACAATCTATATTGGTACCAACCTTTAACCAGGTCTGAACATACAGATTTGATTTGTAGAATGTAAACACTAAACTGCTTGCTTCTTCCAAAGGCGGAAATACCCAATTTCAATAACCTTTGAAGACCCTAACATACTTGTAAATAACCATCCATTTGTTTCTTTGAAAAACCACAATTCCGCACAGACAACCAAACACACACTCATCAACACATGTTACACAGACATTAACTGCCAATTTAACCAAAATACAGGCATAGAAATAACCTTAATACGCAAGATCATGCATTATGTCCTGAAACTGGTATAAGCTAGCAATAAAACAATTTCATCAAATATATTAACCAGCAATAGCATGTTCTTCGTTTGCTAAAACTAACTCACATCTCCAAGCACCAAGAGATCAAATCATTCAGGTATCTAAATCATATCTCCAATAAACAAAATCAAATAAGAAAAAACTGAATTAAATAAACGAGTTGGTCACGAAAAGACGAAACATATCAGAAACTTATAATTCCAAGTTCCAACAAGAAAAGATAAGATTAACTCCGCAAGCAATAGAATCATAGCTGAATCAATAGAGATAGAGAGAGAGTGATAGAGCAAGGGTTTACCTCGGAGCGCAAATGGCAGCGGCGTGCGAGGGATTACAGAGTGAAATATGAATTAGGGTTTGGGCTCTTAAAAGGGCGTGAGAGGGGAGTTATTAAATTACATCAAACCCCTAGCCCATTTCGTTTCACAGATTAGACTTTCTATGTTTAATATATGGGAAATTTGAGTTTTTATGATTAGGGGTGTTGATTGTTTATTTGAAATAATTTATGTTTTTTTATAAAAGTATTTATCAATTTATTATAAATCAGAAGGGTTTAACTTATTTAAAAACTTCTTATTACCGGTTTGACACCGGTATAAATTGAATATCCAAACACTCAAAAGTGCTTATTACTAGTGTCACACCGGAATAAGTCAATAAGTTGTTTTTATAAGCAATCTCAAACACTCCTTAGTATTGAGTTATAGGGGTGTTTGGGATTGCTTTTAAAACAATTTAGTGACTTATTCCGGTATGGCACCGGTAATAAACACTTTTGAGTATTTGGATAAACAACCTATACCGGTGTCAAACCGGTAATAAGGAGTTTTTAAATAAATTAAATCATCCTGACTTATAATAAGTTGACAAGTGATTTTGTAGAAAAGCATAAATTGTTTCAAATAAGCAATCCCAAACACCCCTTGTATATCAAATAGACTCCATGTTTTGTTTTCTGAAAACTTATTCTATTTCTCAATTTGCTTTATTAGAAATAAGTGTTTTCCTTTACGTCTTTCTTAGGGGTGAACATGAGTTGGATTGGTCGTGAAGGCATGCAAACAACCCAATTTAACATTTTAGTTTGAAAATTTTCAACACAATCCCGTCCAAACCATGCAGATTGGGTTGAAACTTTGTTACCATATTACATAAAATGGATTGAACCAAAAAAAATGTGTCAATCGACAATGATCGTTTTAGATGTCTTCAATTTTGATGTTTTTTATGCCTTAAGTTTTAATCATTTATTTTGCAATCAACCCTAGTGCCTGATAGATCCATGTCTTCATGTTGTTGTTATCTTTAAACAGCAGACACATACATGCTATTTTCATTCATGGATTGTTAATGTTTGTTGTAAAAGTCATTTATCTAACTGTGAAGCCATGGTTTTCTTGTTTTTCTAATATGGGAATTCAGAAATATTTAAAAAAAATCCACAGTTTTTTTAAGAGTTTTGACTTTTTAAGGAGTGTGGGGATGATCGGGTTGGGTTGGCCAGTTTTAAGGCACTAAACAATCTCAACCTAGTTCAATGGTTTGTTGGGTTGGGTGGTCGAGTTGATTGGGTTACTGTGCACCCTTAATCCCCCTTTCCCCTTATGTCGGCCTTGTTTCCTATGAACATTTAGGGTGTGTTTGGTGTCCAGACAGGACATGACAGGACATGACAATTGTTCAACGTTTCGTAAGATAAAACTGAACAGAACATAACAAATAAAATGACCAATTTACCCCTGATGAGTTGTTTATTTTAATTAATTTATGTAATTCATTAAATCATAATAGAATAATTATTTTTTATAACAAAATATATCATTTGAAGTTTTTGTCAAAACAATTAAAATGACACCAAATAAAAAGTTTATGTACTTTTCTATTTTTATTTTATCTATTTTCTACATTATTTATTATCATTAATATATAATAAATTACATAAATTAATAAAAATATAGAGAGCAAGGCAACAGCTAGTTGCTTTCTGGTGAGTTGCTATCGCTCCTCTCCTTTCGGTTGATTCGGTAAATAATATTTTGTGGGCAATAAATGAAAGTTTAAGAAACATAAAATACAATAAATAAAATTTAAATATTGAATAAAATGTAAAAAAAAAAGACCTATTTGATGTTTTGAAAGAATATTAAGTTTTATTTTTAGGTTATATTGGTAAAATATAAGTCCGTTCCACCTTGTTTTATGGGGTAGGGGTGGAACATGTCTGTTCCACTTTGTTTCACTATGTCCCTAATTGTTCCACATAAAATTCATGTCAAACATGGGACAGGAATCTCTGTCATGTCCTTGTCCAATGTACCAAATGCATTACTGGTTGAAATCTTTATGAATGTAACGATATTCTAGTTTACGGATTATACAATTATGATATGTAAATTCATATTTCATTTATTAAAAAATTGTTTAAATTGCCAATTTTGATAAACTTACAAGCAAAGACATTTTAGTTTTCTCTATTATATAGAGAGATACCAACTATACTTCTAAAAATACTTGCATATGAGTGAAACATCACCAAACTAATAAAACAAGTAAAGCCTATTGACCAAAAGAGTAATTGAGTAAATGCTTGAAAAATTAAAGAGCCAAAGTCCATGGATTAATATGGAAATGATTACATTTTAAGGGACTAATAATTGCATAACCAATTTTCCATGGATCAAAACCGGAAATTGTTACATTTTAAGGGACTAATAGTTGCTTAAACAAAAGTCGATGGACTGAAATGCTTATATACGTTGAAAATAGAACATCTTCGTGAAAGTTGGAATAGGGTTGTAAATGGATAAAGGTAAACCTCTTAGGGGCTGTTTACCAAATACTTACCCGGTAAGTGCTTACCCGTAAAATTTAACACTATTATTTACTTACCAATTAAGTAAGATTTTAGTCCACCAAAAACGACATCGCATGTAACAATTTACCCGGTAAGCGCTTACCGGGGTAAGAGTCGTCTCCCTCACTTACCGGGTAAGACTCTTGGTCCTTGTCTCACTCTTACCGGGTAAGATTGTTGGTCCTTATTATATTCATCCGGTGATGTAATGTCACTTGGTAAGCGCTTACCCGAGTAAGTGTTTGGTAAACGGCCCCTTAATCTTATATGTTTCCATCCGTTCAATAAGGGTGTAAATAAATAACGTTTTTTCATTAATTAAAATATATCATAAATAAAAATCAAAATTGATTTTTGAAATAAGGATAATTATTATTTTGAATTAAATAAATTATTAAAAATCTCATTTTATCTTTTAAATTTGTTATTTTATTAATTTTAATTAATTAATAATTTTTCTATCAAGTTTTATATAAAATAAATTAGATACACTTTTAATAAAATAATTTCATAATTTTCATTTAATATCTAATGTGATATATACGATCAATTTATAAGTGATAATTATAGATATTTTTATTAATTATATGTAATTATCGTAAATATTTTTGTTAATAGTATGTGATTGTATATACATATATTTACATTTATATATATTTTTTGTGATATAAATATATCACATGTGATAATATGTCACTTATATTCAGACGTAGATTATCATATGTGATATGTACAAAAATTCACACAGTGGATTATATATATATATATCATATGTGATATGTAATTATATCATATGTTAAACGAAGTTTATCACATGTGATTCAAAACGTTAATTAAAAAATTAGAGGAAAAATAATGAAAAGATTATGAGTTAAATCGATATCATATATGATATTTGATGAAAGTTTTGAAAAAAAAAAAGTATCAAAGTATATTTAGAAAGAAAAAAAAAGTTATATAAAACTTTATAAAATAATATAAATTTATTAAATTAAAAGATAAATAAATCTAAAATATATAATTAAAATTTTAAAGATTTATCCAATTCAAAATGAAAATTATCTTAAATTCTAAACAAATTATGTTATTTTTAATTAATGGATTATGTAGCTCGTATTTTTTCTCGACTTCTCGTAATTTAGTTAGCTTTTCGTATGATCGTCCATATATATATATATATATATACATATATATATATAATCCTATCATATGTGTTGTATAATAACGTGTAATTTAATTTTTTAATAATTTACTGAGTAAAATAGTTCATGATGATTAAATGAAAACCAAAAAAGAGCAAGAAAAATAAATACAACGAAAAGTGTTGTCTTACAATTTTTATATGGTTTTTAGAAAATTATACTATAATTATATTTAGAGTAATGTTAAAATGTTTACCAAGACAAAGTAGACATAAAATAATTACTTATATGGTTTTTATTTATATGTTTATGGTTTAACTATATTATTTATAGTTTAAATTAAATTGTTTTACCATTTATCCATTACTTGTTTTGTTACTCCCTAATTTATTAGGTAGTGTATGGTATGGATAAGAGTTTATGAGATCGATAATCATTTGTTTGATTAGCCGTTTTTTTAAATGGACATAGTAACATAATAATCCTTATCCTACCCGTTGTCAGCCCTAGGTTACAAGAAATAGGAGCCGAAATTATTTGGAGAAGACTATCTGATCTAATGGGGATCAAAATGGCAAAAACTATACATTGTCAAAGCCTTGGGCGTATAACTCAGTTGACAAATGGTCACCCCCCCCCCCCCCCCAACTCGAGGGGGTAAGTGAGCAAAAAAATGGTCCATCATATTGGTATCATTAGAGACGGGTTTCATGTGGGACTGGTTAGAGTTGTCGATAATTAACTGTTTTGCCTAAATATATTGTTAGAAAAAAATTGTGAGTTTGGTAGAGAAAACGAATCACATAAGCAACAAAAGTAGTTCAAGGGTGTGTCTCGAGAATAGACAATGTTGAAAGTGAGGATGTATGTTAGGGACCATTATGATTTATAGTATTTAAAGTTGAACTGTATTATTTAATTTAGTTTATTAGCTTTTCAGCTCATAATTTAGATGTTTAAGTTGGTGACGATGTTTTAGAAGTGTTTTTTTTTCTGTTGCAATACTGCGAATGTTTTAAGTCATGCATGATTCTATTAAAAACAGGGTGTAACAATAAGACCTTTTATCGAGCCACTCAAGCTTCAGCTGCTCAACAATTCTCGAACTTGAATAGATCTCAAACACGAAATAAAACCAATTTAACTTAACCAGTTGAGTTTCATAACTCCAATGTTTGACGCAACTTATTTGAAAACTTGATTTAGAACAAGACAATCAATCTCGAATTGAAGCTTATAGCAAACTTTATGTATCTCGAATTTTACGATTAATGTATGATGCAATAAACCTAACTTGTTGCATCACACTGATGCGATAAGTCAACTTGTTGCATCACAAGGATGCGACAAACATACTCCTCACAAGGATGCGATAAAAACTATTCATCACATCAGAAGAATGCGACAACAGTT